ATATATATATATATATATTTTCTGCTTCATAAACACTTCACTTTCTTTTCTCATCCATTCTCATTTTGTTACTCTTCTTTTCTTCTATGAATTAACTTCACTCTTCTAAAAAACAACTATTTCTTTTATTTTCCATGTCAAACGAAAATCTTTTATCTAACAACTAATAATTGAATATCAAATTTAAATATTTATTTTATCTTAAACTTCAAATATTATTTCTACCCGTCATTTTTATATTTATTTCAATTAATAAAATTCACTTATAATATAAAATTATTTAAAAGAATAATAGTTAATAAAAATTATATCGTTGGTGTCATTTATTAAATATATATATATATATAATTAAAATAATTATTTATCATTTAATTATATAAAATCAATAATTATATCACATATTTGCACTTTGCTCATGCTAGAAATGATTGTTAATTCTTGTAAATCAATGTAATCAAATTGAACCTCATAATATAAAAGGCAACAGAAGCAAGTGAGTGGAAAGAAGCATGAATAATGAGTGAATGCAATTAGGTTGCATGGAAACTGAAGAAAATGAAAATGGATGGAGATAACACTGACCTGTCGCAGTTGACAAAAATCATCCAAGGCCTTACCGGAGAACATGTGAACGGTGCTTATTTTCCTCAGAAACCGCCACCGTGGGCCGTAGGGTGCAAATATGAGGTCTTTTACGTCATAGGTCATGTACTTGGTCCTGAAGTTTAATGGCCGGCTGCAGAAATTCGCGTCATGAACCTTCAAAAACTGCTCTGCCACCGTGCCAGACGCTGCCACCACCACATGCGCGATACCCAGCTGGAGGTGCATCAGCGGCCCATAAGTTTGGGCTAAAGCTGCCAGGCCCTGGTGCGGTGCCGGGCCCATGTGGGGTAGGTTTCCCACGATGGGCCATGGCCTGGGGCCTGGTGGCAGAGGTAATGAAGGTCCACTTAGGAGCTTCAAAAGCCGGTTAATAAGGATCGCTGCTACTATAGTAGCAAAGGCTATAAGCCAAGGAGACATGGTGATGGTGTATGTAATATGTAATGTGTGTGATGTGTTGGTGTTTCATACAAAATCAACACAACCTAGGTAAGGTATATATAGAGATTTTTTTTTGAAAAGATCGACGAAGGAAAAAATATAGTTTGTGTGCATGACGACACGCAATGTAATTAAATTAATAATTAATGTTTACGTAAATCAAACCATTACCTAAGCAACACAGAAAATGGTAGAGTTAGACCACATAAAAATAATAAATTTTATATCATTGTATGTACATAAGCAACAGGTAGTTTAACATTTGAATTGTCAAAGGCATAGACTCCTGATTTTATCTCTTGAACAAGGTGTGAACACACGCATGCAGCGACTCCAAATGAATCACGTTCCCATAGAGTTATACGTATAAAGCTTTTTTGGATAAAAGTTTAAAACCTATATAGTTGGATACAAACTCGAAAATTGTTTGGGGGTTATTCTGTAGAGGAAAAAAAAGCATTATTTTTAATAAAACAAAGTTTTAAATTTTTTTCTAAACTTGTATGTATCCAAACACGAGTTTTTTAACCAACTTCCTAAATTAGTAGTTGTAAGATCTGGCTTGAAAAATGAGAGGGAAGCTTAATACTTTCAAATTCAATTTTCATCTGTGTTAAAATAATGTTTAGTCAATAAAAATCATATTTTATGAATATAAATCAGTCCTTAGTATATCAGTATTAAAATATTGTATGAACCAAATCTATAAACCAAAAAATAAAATAAATATAAGAGTTTTTAAAAATTTATTTATTGAAAATAAAGAATTTTTTCTAATAAAAAGCTCTTTAAGATTCTTCTAAATTTCAAGGACAAAACTTAAATATAATTTTTTATATGTGATTTATATTATTTATATTTAATATAAGTATTATTAATATACATTTATACATATTATCACAGTAAAACTCCAATTGTAATCAAAGAATATCACCAACCAAAATTAAGGAAGTATACTTAAGTTTTTTTCCTATATTCCAACAAACTCATCATCTGTGTGGATATAACATTGACACCAAAGCATAGTTTTAATTCTCCATTTCAATTTAACACCGTGCAGTGCACCAATGGCATGCATATTATTAACTCTTGAGCCCATTTAGCACCACTTTGACCCCTTCCTTCATTTGAAGATAAGTCTGAATTTTATTGCAAGAGAATGACACATGATGTGTTGTGTGATATGAAATAGTTTGTTACAACATGGTCAATGTTTTTACACATGATATATATATATATATATATATATATATATATATATATATATATATATATATCAAGTA